CAAATTTACTTGCAATATATAGCTTTATACACCGCAACTCTTCCTGCAAACGGCTTCCAAATCAATAAACTCACTCTCCGGCGAAGAACAGAGCTCACCTAGCGGCGCTCACCGGTGCCACGGCGGTGCATTCCGTCGCCTTGCAGCTCAACGACCAGTTAAGACCCCCCCGCCGACGGCTCTCCGACATTAACGGCTGCGCTCCAAGCCTTCTCTGTCGCGTTTTAATATCCTTCATCTCCATCTCCGCCGGCACCCTCGCCACACCCAACACACACGGGGGCCTCCTCGACAGCTTTCCCCCAGCCAACTCCGGCGTCCACTCCGGCGACGCCATTCTCAGTCTCACGTACTCGCCGGCCCCCGTTTCCCTGTTTCGGCGGCCATCCTGCGACCCCGGCGATTCCGCTCCCCTCTGCCTTAAAGGAGACACCTTTTTCCTCGACGCCGCCGCAGAACGCGGCGGCGCCGTGTTTGGTTTGCAAGGAAGAAGCTTTCCCCGGAAGAACAGTTTGTCGGCCGCGTCTATCTCGTTGACGGCCGGCGGCGCGCGGAAAGAGAAGCTGATGAAATCTCCGATTGAGTCGTCGGATTTGCTCGGCTTCTTGATGTCTTCCATTACAATGGAGAAAGGGACTTTGAAATTTTGAGGTAGCGTTGAGTTTTAAGGAAGAGGAAGGGGAGGGATGATGGACATTTGGTTATAATTTCATTATTGTTAGATGTTGAAAATGATATTTATGAATATTATATAATTATAAAAATTATAATTATAAGTCATGCTAATTTTTTATGCCTAGAAGTCCTTTCTAAATCTTTTGTTTTTAAGTGAAGCAAGAGTTCACATTATTTTGTGGGGGGCATTTACAAACACATCACATAATTCTTATGTATTTACATATCTCATATCTAAACTCTTATATTTACGCGCATAGCTTACAAAAATAAAACTATTCTAATTTCCTTAGAAGTGAAATACATGTTTTCATGCATAAGTTTAACGTATAAAACTATTATGTAAGTAAACATGAAAGTTCAGATGTGAGACATGTAAATACATAAGAATTGTGGGTGAAAATAATGAAAGCAGGATGAGTTGGGGTGTAAATTTTTGTTCGGCTCGTCTATATTTTGAGCTTAAAAAGTATATTTTGTTCAACTTATTTGTTTAGCGAGCCGAACATGAGCAGTTCACGAACAAAGAGTCATTTTGACAACCCTAATCACATAGCCATAAGATGTTAAGGATTGTGGCAAGATTTAAAAATTATTATTTATGTAAAAACATCATTTAAATCTAATTTAATAATTTTTATTCTATTTTCTTAATTAATACTTTTAATTGATTATAAATTTTTGTAGCCTTATAGACTGTTAAATTTTTTAAAAATACTACTCATCATATATATATATATATATATAATTGATTAGTACTTTTTCGAGCCGAACATGAACGAACAAATCTTTATTCGTGTTCGGCTCGTTAACTTAGCGAACGAGCTGAACACGAGCTGTTCGCGAACAACGAGCCGTTTTGACAGCCCTAATTGTGGGCCTAATTCCTATTTATTTGCACATTTAAAAACTTAAATTTATTTTTTTACAATTACACTCCTCAAATTTTCTCATCACATAAAAAAAAAATCATTATTTTAATTTTTAAAAGGCGTACACATTTTAATGCACAAGTGTTATGCATGTAAAAATTTAAGTTCAGGGATAGATTTGTAAATATATAAAATTTGAGTGGTATAAATGCAAATCTTCCTATTTTTAAGTGATGGTATTAGGGAGTGGTTGGTGGCAGTTGTAATTTTGGAATTGTGGAATAGCTCCATGTGATTCTATATATATATATATATATATATATATATATATAATTTTGTGTTCATGTGAAAAAAAAAATATTTACAAAGTTTAATTATTTTCTAATTAACAATTACATTTAATAATTTATTTTCTTTAAATTTTACCAAAATTAATAACAATAAAAGACTGAATTCTTATGTATTTACATTTCTGACCCATAAATTTTATTTACTCACATTTATTCCACCCAATTCATTCATATCACAACATAAAATACAACTTTACATGCATAAATAAGATATGATATGTATGTAAAAATGAAAGTTTAAAGGATAGATATATAAATACATAGAAATAGAGTGATAAATATGTAAATATTCCTGATATTTTTATAAACTTAGGTGTCCAACTGTTGAGAAATGAAATTTTCTAGAGACAAAGTAGCCCAAGTCCTCTATAGGGGTTGTGATTTGACCTGATCATCTCATGTGCGGGCAAAATAGAGTTCTAGAAACATAGCAAACGTGTAATTTTATTATTATTATTATTTTTTTTATTTTGAGGGAGAAATGGACACCTATATATAATTTAGTTAAAAATTAGGAAACATACTTATCACTTAATTTCTATGTATTTACATATCTAACCACTAAATTTCAATTTTTACATATATATACGACATTATCTAATACATGTAAAAAGTGCATTTCATTTTTTAAAAGTTGGAGCAATAGTATGTTTTTATGAAAATTTTGGGCGGCTGTTGAATTGCAATTTGTTTGTGAATCACAACCCAATGAATAATGCGAAAGAAATGAGAGAGAGAGAGAGAGAGAGAGAGTATAATAGGGTCTATTTATATTATAGAGAGTACAATATAGTCGATGCTCTAATGGGGGTTGTACATGATATTTTAGATATTCCATATATATGAGCCTATCGTTGGATCGCTGTCTAGCTTGGCTATGACTTCGACTTGATAAGGCTGGTTCGACTGGTTGGGCTGAGCCAATGTAACCGGTTAGCTGAGCTTAGTTGGCTTCAGATTGACATGACTACTTCAATAGGCTGGCTTTGCCAATTGATTAATTTAGTATGGATGTTGATTCTCGATCTCTGGATGAGAAGCTCCAGTCTACGGTGCAATACTGGACTATCAAACAAAGGGTAAATCACTGTAACCCAATAGATAGCTTATTTCTTAATGATGAGGGCCAATGACATGACTACAAAACTTTATTGTATTGTTAATTCTTGAT